CATTCTCTGTTTCATTGCACGCATTTTAATTAGAGCATCTGAAATGAATCTGAAAATAATTATTTATGAAGTTTAATTTAAATGTGTAGTGGAGGCTGGTCTCAGACGTACTTTCTTCGGACAGAGGAAACCGGGCTATACAGCTTTGTCCCAAAGTCCAAACACTTATTCACACTTGCATTTACTCGCTTCAATTGCTGAGGCTACGCATGGAAGAGATGCCTTTGATCCACAATATTATTGTTGATATCTTTGGTATTTTTAAGAAAAAAGGGAAAAAGCAGTCTTTGTGCTTAAGACTGATGGCTCTAATCTTCCTTACATAACATTTTGAAACCCGGACTTTGACGTTAGGTTGACCTTTACGCATGTAGGCGTGAGCACACACCCACGAGTAGCGAAGGTGGTGTGGGCAGAGCTCCTCGCAATCAGGGTGAAACACATTTTGCGGTAGACTATCACGACATTGTGCTATTTTCTGGATGGAACCGTTTTGGCAAAATCTATCATAGGTAATTCATTCCGAGCAAAATTTTTCAATCCTTCCCTATGTTATTATCCCTGAATAGTGTAAACTTTCAAGCAGGAAATCTTCCAGAACTTCCACTGAAATGTCAATTAACCGAGAGTTCTCACGAATAGGTCCTTACCCATGTTGAAAAGAACTTGCTAATCGTGACCCTTCAAATGGAGAAAGAGCTAATTGGTCACAGGGTGTAGTCTTGACAGTAAAGAAAACCTTACTCATTCCTTTGAGGTGAAGTTAATAACCCTTTGCGGCTGCTAAAACAGACACTCGCAACGTACACCACAAAGCCAGCGTTTTTGGAAGTCCATGTCTTGTGACCTGGTTAGCTACTTGAAACATTTACGCTATAACGAAGCACCACTGATCCAATTTGCACTTTTAACCACGTGGAACGTGGCCTCGGACGTCAACTGGGTTTGTTCAGGGTACTTCTGTTAATAGGTATAAACCCCCACCGATAAAATGCAGACCCTTATGCGCTGAATTTTAGAGCACAGACGGAATGACAATCGCATCAATAAAATGAAAACAGCAAAAGGCGCTACAACTGATACCCTGCAATTGGGCCACACTTGGATTTCAATATGAATGTGACATTTTTGCTGAGGACATGAACGCCTCAGGAGGCCGGGTGTAAGTCATCATAACTACTCAGTTAAGAATTCACTAGCATCTGGAATTTTTATTTTAGGCTGCGATTTCGACTCTGAATTGCATAGCACTTGAGCACAGCCGCTAATTGATACGCCTTGAGTGTTACAGTTTGATTTGAATTTTGGCACTTGCCAATAGCCTCAAATTAAACCTGCATTGTTGTTCTAACTCCGACACGATTACTTGTCACCTATAAATTAAACTCATTCTGCCGTCAAATTCTCGTAGACACTTTTTTGTTCGGCTTTCCCTTAATGTCATTTCCGTTAACAGTTTACCAGCTCTTCTCTTCACATGTGAAGTAGAGGTCTTTCGGACTCACATATTTTATGACATCCCCTGGGAGGATGTCATGGCCTAAACTTTTAACTAAGGGTCAAATTGGGTTTTCAAATTCAAACTCCCACCAAAACCATGCCATGTAGGTGGACATCGTAGAATCGAACCCGCTGAGGGATCACTCGTGGGTCAACATGACCAGCAAGCTTAGTGATGATGATGACCGCAGAGGTCTAGCGATCACTTATCACCACACACACAAAGGGGCACGAAGCCCTGTCTCAAGGCCGTAAAATGATTTCTTACTACTAAAAACAGTAGCTACCAAAATTAGAAGGTGGCAAGATCGTAAACGCCCATTGGTTCTACTCACCCACCCAGAGCTGATTCAACCCTCCTTATTGCTACAGTAAACAAAACCTAGTCAGGTGGTTTTAGGACGATAAAACTGTTTTGTGTTCAAAGTTTATCGGCTTTACTTGAAGACACAGTCATTAAGGTATCCCAAAAGATGCTATAGCCATTAGAATGGGTAGAATGGCCAAGGGAATATCAGTCCGGATGTCTGGAGCTGCGAGCTGGTTCCGATGCCACCAGCATAGAGCTTGAAGCGCAGGAGACCAAAAAGGTCCGTGTAGACAAATATGCAATTGGAGAAATTATTATTCTCTCCAAATTCCCTGCTCCTACGATTAAATGGTAGGACTGTTTTCGTGCAGTTAATGAACAACGAGTATCGAATAACCATTCAGCGTATTTCCGAGGTGATGCTGGTTAAAAGAGGGACATTTTGAAGCCAATTTCTTGCCTTACACCCCAAAATAGCAACAGTGAAATGAAGTCGATTATTTAAAGAGGTTACAAAACCTTGTTATTTGTGCAACTCTTTGTTTTGGTTTTACGGACACCTAGGGCTCTGCCATTGTACGTGCGCTGGGCGTCATGCCCCCTGAGGCCATGCCAGTAACCCCTAGCCCTTCTCTTCGTCAGCAATACATATGTCCTGTCCGGGTTTTATGTCTTCTTTCGTCTTCAGAGAAGTCACATAGAGCTGCGGATAAGCATCGGGGGTCTCTACACCAGAGCTCCTTTTCCTGCGCTTAAAAGTAGTCTCTTGTTTCGACTTTGCAGAAATAAAAGCTCAGATTCTTCGCAAGAAAATGTTTTTTATTATAACCTGGCCTTACAAACTTTTTGTTGATAAGTAGTAAAAACATTTTACCTCTTATGATTTCGTGCTTAATTAAAATAAATTTCGATTTTTTTCAACTTTTCTACCAGCATTTTCGTCCAGTCGCCAGAAAGTGCTAAAATGTGAATAGATGACGAATGTTTGAGCAAAGTGAGGTCTATTTATTATTACAGTCAAACATATATCTATATGTGTATTTTTGTTATTAACCCAGTTTCGTCATGAGAACGCATTAAATTCCAAGGTCTTGCTTCAATGCTTTTCCTGGGTGCAATTATCGGTGGTATCTACCAGTATTCTTGCATTTTTTGACTGCAAAAAGCTTATTCACCTGACATCGGTCATGCTGCAATTGGGTTTGACAAAGGGCATTGAACAATCGGAATTGCGTTGCAGACAGAGGAGACGTTGCAACGCGAGTGTTACAGGGACATGACTGGAATGGCTGGCGGTGGGTGGTGGGTGCTTTGATGATTTGGATTAATTGACCTCTATAGACTACCAAATTTGGAAGCTGCCCTCGAAATTGGATTTATCCCTTCCGGCTGATTGCCTTGCTTTTTCCCTGCAGAAAAGCCAACTTTCATGCCGCCCAGGTTGAAATGCGGCAGAAATCTGGACTCTGCCATTTTAGTAACTCGTGTCATTTTCATCTATACGTCCATTGCATGGAATGCTTTTGCCTTCCACCTTATTAATTAGGCAAAGGCTAAATAAAATAACTCAAATGCGCCTGATTAAAATACCCCGAAATGTGTTGTACGGTATTTTGCTGGTTGCTATTTCTATTTTTTACCAGAACTTGATGAAAACTACCGTGCTGTGCCCCAGGGATCAGACCAGGCATTAAATCCATTAATGAAGTCGGCTTGATTTGAGAAAAAGGCGGCAATCCCATAGCCCAGATTCACTTTGATCAGTTATGACGTCTGCTAGTTTTAGGACTTTGTCTGCCTTAAAGTGGAAATGTGAGCCTTGATTTACTTACCATGCTGTAATCCTTCGATAATTTGTGTAGCTCTTCGGTTTAGTTCCGCGGGTACTTTAGGCTCCGCCCTTAGACTACCGTTGGGCCACGTGGCCTCCGGGCTATGCCAGTAGCTCCTCCCCGCCCTCCAGCCCTTCTGTATGTTGACACCACATACCCTTCCCAGGTATTACATCATCTTATTCTGTCCTCAGAAAAGGCTCAGAGCGCCACTATGCCTTCAACATTGGAAGAAAAGGCGATTGTACCTGCTTGAACATTACAATATTCACTAGTTCTGTTAAGTAGAGGTAAATTCTAAAATTTGAGAGACTTTGTGTGGTGGTGACCAGTTCCCATTCTCTAGATGCAATTGCCAAGACCGAGTTTCATGTCCATCGCAAATTGCTGACTAAAGCATTCTCAGGTTTATCTTAAAAAATGAGGCAGTGGATCCCCCAGATTTCGACCGTTATCACTTCGGCCTGACGCCAAAACCCTAATTGCTACGTAGACTTGCATCAGTGACTTATTGGATGCCTTTCGATCCAACAAAGTTCACCTCATTTTGATCTTCCTAAAGTATCGGTTGTGTGTTATTTGGATCTTCCTACTGTCAACTTGAGCAAAGTCAACCCCTGCTTTTGTCTCTAAAAGTAGGAGATGTCTCTGCTTCCTTTAGTATGGCGTTTCGAGGGCTTCAATCCGGTCAGCTTTGGTTCATCGGGTATAAAGCGACTTCTGGTGGTAGCATTTTATCATAATAAAAATTACACTTACGAAATATGAAAACGTTTGTGAGCTGACATAGAGGACTCGGGTACATCAAAACTACTATCTTTTGCTACAATACACTTGCTCCAACATCCTTCTCTGAGGTTGTTTTTTTCGACCGACCAGACTCACTTCATTTGTTCCGTTACCTTGTTTGCTTCGGCCTACTTCTTTGCTCTTTGAAGCCTAGATTCACGGTGGGGCCTTCCTATTGCCATCAAAGTCTTTCATCTGCTCCCCACTACGGGAATGGGCACGCAGTGGGCATGCCGCCAGCATGCTTTAAAAAGCGGCTGCACACTGTTTAATGATACAGGCGGGATCCACGTAATTCCATAACCTAAATAAAAACCGTCCAAGGCGGCAATTCCCCGTCAAGTGTCCTCCATTTTTAATAAAGGAGACAGCCGGAACCCCCTTTACACTTTGATGCTGCGTTTTTAATCTGATCCAGAGGGGGGAGTATTTTAAATGCATGAATAAGGTCCTGCTGATTGTAACCTTGCCATCCCAGCTCTAGAGTGGAAATGGAACTCGGCACTGTGGCGTAAGGCCATCGTGTCTAGACTGGCTGTTTAAGGTATTGATTGCTGAGTCATGGCTCGATGAGGTGGCCTGGACACAATCAACTTGTTGCTGGCCGGCGCCTCGTATTAGCCCACTCGGCTGCTGGTCCTGGTTGTCGCTACACCTCAGCAGCACCACAAAACGCTAACACTGGTTACTACGATATCGCGAGGAGCTGTGGCCTTGTTCTAGCGCCCCAAATCTTAATGCAGTCCCAGGCTGTGACTATCCCGTGTACCACTATAAAAGGCTAACAAAATATGCAAATATTTAATTTTTTTGCATTTGCACCTTAGGACTAAAATTGGGTAAACACTTCAAATAATGCAGACATTTAGAGTACGCTGATTACTTACCGTGACTCGTTCTAGTAGTAAGACTGACCAGCACACACGGACCCTCTTTAACCTTATGCATGCCGGTTTATGACTACTAGAAAAACCTATTTGTGCAGAAGATGATGAAACGGTGACACAAAAATAGGTGCGCGGCGTTTATTTCAGAGTCCCAAGTGCGAGACGATAGTGAGACCTCGGTATGCCACGCCTCGACCAATCGCAGCGCCAAACGCGTCGCCACTTGCGCACCCAGGCGGGGTATATATATCAAGCAGCAGAGAGGGGCGCAGCATTCTGGAATTACTTAGGCTTTCCCCCGGTGAGTTCCTCCACATCGATGTGCTTTCTTTTTCGCATCTTCTTCCAATCGAATTCGATGTAATTATAACCCTTAGGACCACTTCATCAGACACGTGGCCCTACGTGTAGACTCGCAATGCAGTCGAAGGGCTCTATTTGTGCACTAAATAGCCAATCACTTACCGTGGCCACTCACTCTATGCATCAATATGTTTTACACAAAACCTAGGTACATATCTTTGCAAGCTGTCTTGCGCTCCTGCTTTTTGTCTTACCCCTTTTTTGCATGAGCATAAGTGCAGTTGTAGGTGCAATTAGAATAACAAATCTTTCTGTGTCTCCTGCACTCTGATCCACGTTTTCAGCTCAAGCATTGCGCCAATCCTAGTTAACCTTGTCATTTCGCACGCATACCGTAATTTGATTTTTGACAGCAGTGTTAGCACCCATAGCTCTCATTCTCTCTAAACTTGGGTGAGATTCGCGAATGAGAAAAAAAATAATCTCGGGTCCTTTTTGCCACTTCGGAGTTAATTATAGATGGTACCTGTGTTTGTAATGCAGATTGTGTTGGTGTAACGCAGTCGCTTGGGCATTTAGGAAGAATGGAAAGAAGAATCGCGTATATAGCTGAAGTTTCATATTTTGGGGGAGTTTGTTGGGCTAATTGGGCCGTTGGAATGAAGTGACAAACACGCCACCCTGTCATTTCCTCGTCTTGCGCGGCTCGTTCCTTTCCCCGGCAAAGGCGCTGAGCACAAGCGTGGGTGCGTGCGTGCATCTGCGTGAGTGCGTGCGTGTGTATGCGCGCGTGCATTGCGTTCACATGGCAAGGATGTTTAATGGATGTTACCACAACCCTGCTTGTCCTTGCTTGACCCTCACAATCACATGGCGCCATCATGGCGTGTTCCACACACACACACACACTCGCTACATCACACTCCGCAGCTGTTGTTCCAGTCACTCCACATCAGAGGTTCAAGCAGTTGCGGCTTCATCATGCTAGGTTACTCCATATTGCTATTTATCCACGTCTTAGCGCATTTGAGTTACTAATGTTCCCATTGTCTTTTCTTCCCTCTTAGATTAAGCAATCAAGTCAACTAAAGCACGTCGAAATGGATTCAGTCAGCGAATCCTACTCACACTACATACGCAATAGATATCTACCATTTCATGACAGTGGATTCAACTCTACCGACACAATGGGACATAGGAACGACAGATGGACTCCGTCACGGTCCTCCTCTCCAGTATCCTTACCACTAGACTCCTACCATTCCGACCACTACGGTGTCTTCTTTATGGATGAGGACATGAACCACAGGTCCTTCGGCGCCGTTAAAGAGGAAGCCGAGGAGGAATGTTGGAACTCCACTTATCATTCTTCAGTAGAGAAACGGTTCACCAGCACTTCACTTCACTTCCCCGGTGTCTTTGTGGAAGGCTTCCGCGATGGCCGAGTGGAATTCAACATTCCTGGAGTCATGCGAGATCAATTCTCCCCTCCTGACGAAATCAGTGTTCATTTCAAGTTACCGCACGATGAAAGTGGACAGATGCGCAACTCCGACCTCGATTGTCTCACAAAGGCCGGCGAGGTCATGAACCAGTGGCGAAAACAATACGAGACTCCCTACCAACCTTTGACAACACAGCAATCAGTGTCTCTATCCTACCGATCCTACTTCGAAGGCGATGACCCCCATCCCTTTCATTATGACAATGATCGTTAGTCCTTTTCCCTCTTCGACAATCCCAACTCCTCAGGCTGCCACTGTTTATACGTATTTGGTTTTCGAGAGTTTTTACGCACCTTTATTGCTCCTTCTCACCCATCTTCTGGAACGACAATCGTTATTTTTGATATTTTTATAGAGCAATACATATCCGTTTTCTTTTATATCACTGTTCCTATCTTGATCCCTTATGCTCAAGTAGAGGGAACGTAGGGTCGATTGAAGCAACTGGGTCATATTTGCCAGGATTTGTCATGAGTCTAGAGACCCGACAAGAAGGCAGAGATAAGTCAGACGAAAGGTTCCATCGTCGCAGAGGCAATGGGCGTAAAGGGAAGTGGGACGCAGGACCGTCCTGAATACTGTCGCGGCATGACTAATCTGGGACTGCGCCCACGTTTTTCCGGACACTGCCACCGCCGTCTGGTGTCCCCGTTAAGGGAAAAGACGTCGCGAAGTCGTCTTTTCCCGACACAGAAAACCGTCGTCGTGATTGATTGGATCGCGGAGTGGGACGAGACGCTGGCGTACACAAACACTTGTACGCCTTCGCTGCGAAAGCCTGGTTTAGCTAGGGATTTGCGGTAATTTTGGATGCCGTTTAAACAAAGAAGGCTGCAGGTGACCCCGTTTCGAAAAATGGGAGATTTTTTATTAAAAGCTTGGGTATTAGGGTTTACCTCTCACCATTTCTCCACGCCCAGCCAAGGATTTGAGCTGTTAGATTATTTTGAAGTTGATATTTCATTTTCAGGTAGGAAAAAGATTGACTTTAGGAACGATGCTTAGGAGAAAGTAGGCGCGTAATCATCCTGAAGCTCAAATATCCAAAAAATGATGAGAAAAGCATCTAATCCAAGCATCTCGCTGTATATTCAAAAATATACTCTGCTATTGAGATTCCAACTTGGCCCAGTCGGGACAACAGCGCAGTCCGGTAGGACAAGGCCCTTGTAAGAAAGCCTATTGGTTCCGTTATTTTAATTTGTCTACTGACCGGGCACTTCGATATCAAGACAAATGAAGTTGATTTTAGTTTGCTGATAAGGAGACTAGAATGAGGGTCCTGCCTCTATTGTCAACAATTAATTGTTTTCAAATCGTCAGTCTGATAAAATTGGGGAGGTGCCAATACATTTGGATAAGGTGGTGTGTAAATGAATAGAATTCTGGAGGTGTGGCTCCACGATTGTCCTCGTGATATTAAACTCGGTAAGGTTAACATTGTTGCAACACCAGGGCCCGTGATGATGTTTGTCGGCAAAAACTTTTGACTCGATTCGAGCATCAAAGAGTCCTATTCGGTAGGCATATTTCCATGCAGAAATTGCTTCATCACTTGATGAGTAACGTACTAAAGTGTCAAGTGTCATGTAGAAGTGAGCCCCTTGGCGGATGCAACTCTGCTTATCGAGCCACATTGGGAATGCGCTTACGCCAGAACCACATAGTGGTTCGGCAGTTGAACACATTTCTCCCGAATTGTTTTAGAGACACGTAGGAAACAATCTAGTTTTCTATCCTAAAAGCCCATTAGTTATTATTGTTGCTGATGTTCGCCTAGACAGTGGCATTACCTCCAGCATCATATTTTCGCGCTCTGCCTGGCCGATGACGCAAACCATTGTGGACACAAAGCCGTATAAAGGCTGCACATCACAAATGAGCCTCGGTCATTCATTCGGCAATTTAACGATAATACATACGTCTTCACCTCTACCCCTTCGTTCTGCCGACTGCTTGTACCTAGGTAGCCTTTACTGGTTGATTTGTCGCTTTAACACTTGCAAAAAATTCTCGTAGGAACACCGACCATAACCGCTGAGATATTTTGTTTTGATATGGCATCAATTTATAACTGCTGCTTATAGACCGCAAGTTGGTCACTATCACCGCAAGAAGAATATTCTTCATCTGTTTACAATACAGTTTAGTTCAACGAGGTTATCATAAGCCACCCTGAAACGCATTGCAGATATTTGTGATGCCAGGATTTGATAAGAAAGCCGCATTGTCACATATGCGTGACGGCGATAGTGAATGCGGCAAGTTTGTCAAATGCCGTAGGAAGGGTGGTACGTCGTCGTTGGCAGTGCTGTGGATGGAGTTCACTGGAGACGTTTTGAAACCATGCTTCTGTGGGATTGTGGACGTAGGCAGTGCCAAACATTTCCAACAGAGATGATAAAGATGGGTTCAGCAAAGGTGCAGCAGAATGATCAAAGACTTCCATAATTTCGACATTCTCATATATCAGGGATTAAGATAGGAAAATAAACTGCCACCTATACCAATATTTGTTACTTAAAATGGGTGAAAGATTGGTTGGTGGCATTACCATTTCCTGGTTAAAGTGGTGACGAAAGAATTGGTTTTATCGCTTGACGAATAGTTGATAATATGCAGATTTCGAGGTCACACTAAGCTCCTAATAAGAAATGTTCAGTAAGGACAAATTACAAAATATATTTTGCCCGAGGTTTGCCAGGAAAATGAAAAGCAAGTCATTTTTTACAAAGGTCATAAAACAATGAATCAGGTTGGGACCCATTTGATATGCTTTTATTTCGATCAAATGACAATCAAAGCCCCCTAGAGAAGGATGGTGACTTATTTAGGGAATTTGTCTTAGCCTTCCGTCGCCCACACAACGACAGCTCCTTTGAAGTCACCGCAGGCTGATGAGTAGGCCACAGGGTCACAGCCAAGATGAGGTGATGGTGATCGTGTTCACTTGTTTGTAGAATGACGAAATGGTGACAACATTATGCGGGCGTTTGTGGTCGCGTTATCTGCACTTTATTAACACTATAATCAGGCCACCACCGACTCACAATCCCATAGTGGCATGATTTATTCCGCCTCCAGGAATAGCTTGAAAGAGATTCGACTCAAAGAAACGACTACTTCCATTTTGAAAAGCAACTGCCGTCTAACTGTTAGGGTAATTTCTCCAACCAACCCCTTCCTGACAAAAGTCGCCTTGTAGATTATGCCTATAGCATGTACTTCCAACAATAGGTGACATTATCCCTATGCTGAGAACAGAAAACGCCACCCTCGATTCCGCCTTGGGGCTAATCATAATTCACATGCAGAATCGTCACGAGGGAAGTGGCTGCGAGGAGCTTCCAAGACGATACTCGAAACAGAAGAGTTCTGCGGTATGAATGCTATCTTTAGCAATGGAGTTACCTCAATCGTCGTGGTTACAGTGCTCATCACGATGCCATGGCATAAAAAATAAGCCCTCTTCCACACCGGTGTGCCATATTACGAACTCAGGATGACTAGGGGCAACACAGGAATTCTCAGTGGTGGAAGAATGGAGGGCTGCCTTTTATTCCACCACAGATATCTGGGTCAGAATTTTAACACAATATTTAACACAAAAACTGTTTTTAACTTCTTGGGGATAGGTTCAAATCTGTGCTTCCAAATAAATAACTAAGGCAACCAAAAGGACTTGTTCACTTATTCCAATGAAAGGCGCATTAAAAGCTTAAATCAGTGGATATGCGTACACACATGCAATGAATGAACCATGAAAGACTAATGCAGGAGTCGACAAAGTAAGTGAAATATCACAAAAAATTGCAGCAATACTTCTTCTCCTGGCCTATTGATCCGGTCGACCATCCTTAGAACCATGGACAGAGGGGCAGACGGGATCTGTGGCAGTAACCATCTTGTAGAGCACCAGAAAGACTAGCAGGTGCATCACCAGAACGTAGGCAAAGGTTGCAAGACGGGCACCGCGGTTGCTAATTATAATTCTACCCTGAAAGACAAGGTCGGAATCCTGACGTCATTATAATGTGGACGCCGACCAACCAAAACGATCAACTCACGAGATTGTGCATGATCTTCTCGTGCGGTAACAGGGCCTGGTAGCGACGTTGTCGCTCCTGCTGGCCGAACTGCCTGAAAGGATTTAAGCGCTCCTCGTAGGCGCTGGAGTAGCGTGCCAGAACCGCGTCGTCACGGTCTAGACTAGAGGAGGTGGAGGGCGAGTAGGCCTGAACGAACCTTATCTTTTCGTACAGCTTGACGTTGTCCTGACGAAGAGACTCCACCTCCGTCTGAGATGTTATCAATTGTTGTCGCATGGCCAGAAGATTCTGGAAATGTTAAGGAAATACCCGGAGTTCAAATTTACTTTAGTCTATCATGATTCATTCGGACGTCGCGCCATTTCAATCCCTCCTATACTACTAGCCTCTCACTTCTTCTCCATCTCATCTTAACGTCCTTTGAAATAACATTGGTAGCATCCTTTGCAAAACCACTTTGAGGAAAAGAGAGTCCTCCTTTCAGCTATCTGGATACAACACCCAGACTCTACAGAAGGAAAGCATCTGCGATGGACGGCTGAATCTGCGGAAACTCACGACACAAGGACTGGTGAAACCGCAACAGGCTTTACCACCTACCATAACATCAAGGCCACCAAAATGAGCAGTAGTGGTACAATATCTGGTCCAAACGAATTAAAATCGTTCTTGAAGAAGTGATCGGCATATCCTAGTCCACTGTGAGCCAGCTACCACACTAATGGCTTGAAGTTAAGCAATAATATCTTCAATGACATCTCATTTTGATTAGCCACTGGGCTCGTAATTTTATAACAGCTTAGGAGCTATCGAGACACTACATCGGTAGCATCGCATTGACACGCTTTACGCCCTGCGTCCCCTTGTGGATAATTTAATCGCTTCCAACATTTCTTCAAAAGGTGAGAGAAGGACATCTAGTCTAGTGCGCAAGGACTCATGGCGAAAGGATCAAGAAAATTACCTCAAGCGGCTGGAATCTATTCAGCTTTCAAGCGCAACTTTTTGTAGTAAGCAATGGAATATCCAGCGACCTTGAAAGAGTAGTGTGACTGATAAGGGGGGCATAATAATAAATCCTCACCCTCCACTCTCCAGTTTACAATCACTCCACTTGACTGTAAGCCTAAGCACGACCTTAAACAAATAAGGCGACCCCGCATGAGCACTTTGCGATGACCCTCGGTGTGATGGATTTCTATAGAATCTGAGCAAATGTTACATCAACTGCAGTGTTACATAACCTTGCATTACACTTTCAGCCCCTTTTTTTCGACACATTTTGGTAGAACGAAGCTTTGCCCATATCATCCATGTTGTTTAATCCAGAGTCCTTCTGTACCTCGACAGTAAATCCATTTTGTGACCTACGTGTTGGATAACTCATTCCTAGGCAACTTGAGCGCTATTTTGCAAGATATCACTATCGCTATTAACCGTTTAAAGGTTTGAAATTCATGCGACCTTCACCTGTCTCATACCATTCTTCAAACGAATGGAAAAGTTTCAACTTCTTAGTATACTCGATTTGACAGGTCACAATGTTGGAGATATCTCGATGCAGTATGCAGAGGTACCAAATCCCTACCTTGCCAACCAAAAACGAAAGCTGAAATACTTTAGCAAGGGATACAAAATTTTAAAAAACTGCTATTGCATATACGACGAACCACAAAAAACGTCGAATCACCCCTACAATCTATCCTC